AATGTCTACCAGACATGGTGGTTAAACCCATTATGACCCTGACAAAGCTTTTCTGAATATGGGGAAATTTCAAAGAAAATTGTGTTTTTTAAAAGTCAACTTTAGGATAACCTCAAAGCTACCAGTCAAATTATGAATTAAACGCGGTTTTTACAAGCTCCTGGAACCCACTCTGTGATTATAAGATAAACAAGTGCCCATATTCCTTCTAAATTCAGATGCAAAACTTTTTGCTAAAATCTCTGCACTCAGATTACAGCCTATACTGCCCCTTGAAGAGACGCTTACCAGTGAAACGCGCGTCGGGACTCAGTTAGACAACTTACTCTGTATAAGCAACTCCTGATTAAGAAAATCCAGTCATTATTTTCTAACCACTAATTTTATGCTACTACTCAAATATACTACCAGACTGGGCTGCTAACCATTGCCAATATCGGGCGGTGTAGTACCCAGCTGGGTATGGCCGCACCAGCTCAAAATAATTTTTGCAGTCTAGGGTCTATCTTCCACTCAAAGACAGCTAGAATAGAGTTCTCTCGCTATATTTAGAATTTTAGGTGCCCTCGAAGGCACAGATTAGTGACAACTTTTGCAACTTTAGTTTAATGTGTGACTTTTATGTAGTCAGCTCATTTAAGACGATATATGTTGGTGTTCATACTTTTGTCATCCCAGGCATTCTGTTCAGACTTAGTATAACAATTGGGGATTCAAATATAGACATTATATGTACCATTTTATCACATGACTTAATGTGCCTGTTTAGGCAACATCCCCCTTGTTTTTCTTTTCCGGTCTTCATGCTTCATGCTATGGCAAAGTTAAAGGGAAACCAAAGTGCCAGGAAAACAAACTCGTTTTCCTGGCACTAAGGCTTCCCCTTTTGTCAAGGCCCTTCCCTCTGTGGTGCAGAAGAGGTTTATAACCCCTTCTTTCACTTACCTGGGTTCAGTGCCGATGTCCCTCGGCGCTGGCTCAGCTCCGCCCATGCACATCTGACAGTGAGGGAGACCTAATGCGTATGTGCCAATGGCCGCGCTCGGATTAGGATCTCCCTGTAGGAAAGCATTATTCAATAATGACGAGATTCTGGTGACGCTGGAGGTCCTCATGCATAGCGTGAGGACGTCCGGCGTCGTTTAGACGATTTACCAGCTATGCACTCTCCAAACGGGGCATATGTGAACATTGGGACACACTGTTGCTACATTATATCACTCCTTCAGACAAGTTCTATCTATGAAATCTAGTGGTCAGTCCTGACCTGTATACGATCGCGATAATCTGACGACTATCTATTTAGAAAAACAATATGCATAGAAATGATACCTCAAATTGTATAATGGTATCCAAATATACTTATCTGATAAAGTTACAACAGCCTCTCAAGGTCGTGGCCCAGTTCCTGACCTTTTACAACATATACATAGACACAAAAGGAATAGAGATTTGGCTGTACATAATCTAGAACAAAAACAGAAAAAATACGTAGTGTAATACAGCTAGAAACAGGTTATAGTGCGCTGATATAATAATGCACTCACAAGATCCAAATGAATAATGCGTCAAAAAGGTGCCTGCCCCGGTGAACTTGGGCGGCTAAACGTCTCCACTCTCCACTGGAACACTATCTATTTAGGCATTAGACTGTCTGAGCTATCTCTTTTAACTTTATTATTTTCTTTTCCCTTTCTTTGGTACATTTTGGTTTATTTAGTATTGTTATTCTTTTAAGCACGTATCTAATGAATGTTACGTTTTACAGACATTACCTACACTTGCTTTAGGACATTTTACGTTCTTTTATCTCTTTATTGTATATTGCTTTAAAGGCACTTTCATTTGGACAAAAATTCCTTCTGTCTCTCTTCTTCCTTTACCCCAACAAATATTCAAAATAAGCTTGATGAAATAAAGATTTATTACTCTCAGATATATATTCACTTTATATTTCCAGGACCACAGGAATTTCCGGACATAACCCAGTCAAGATTGACTCTACTGTTCCTTTCAGAATCCATGGTATATCGAGTGGATTTGGTGAATGTTATTTAGACCTTCTGGATAGATGCTACATTCTCAAACTAGTAAGGCAGCACAGGTGGCATCAAAATCATATGACATTACGTGCCACTACACAGGTTCTAATTGGCCCAGCAACATAATCCTTAATAACGCCTTGGAAAATCATTAAGAAGTCAGGGATGAGTGACTCAATTCCTACCCCTGCTGATGTCATTCTTTCCCCAAGATTCAAATGGAAGAATGGTTAAATTCCGACATTCTATCATGCAGGGAGAAGAATTGGTTGTTTGACAAAATGCTTTATGCGGATTCCAGCTGTGCATTTAATACCTTTAGGTTAATTATACATTGTCATTAATTAAACTACAGAATAAATTATAGGCAGTTTTAAAAAAAATTATTTCATGTATATAGATTATGCATAAATAAGGATAATGTACAGTGTATAATGTACAACAACAAAACCATTTTAAACCTTCCACTACGGAATCTGTCTACGTGTATCATGGCTAAACTGAACCTCTAACGTAAAAACATATTGTTTCATATGGGGGGCTTTGTTAATGTGGATAGGAATTGCTTTAAACAGTTTGTAATTAAATTATTGACTTTTCACTGTGTTCTAATAATTATTAAGGTAGCTAACATTTTATTTTTAAACTATTTATTTTACTTATTTGGGTTGTTTTTGTGTATTTTCCTCTTCATTGCATCTTGTCTTGCTCTCAGACTCAATTTATGCAGTTGGATTACAAAGTCTGATATCTGCCATTATTTAATTAGCATACTGAGCCACTGGCATTGAATCCTAATTAACCAAGACATCAGTTGGACAGAGAACTACATAGGAAAACCGTAAACTGCAAATAGTGTGCATACTTCCTATCACCGTGACTACCACTGTGACTAGATATCAAATAAAATGTTATACTTTTCAATTACATGTTCAATTTAAAAAAAATAATGCTTTAAAATAATATTTTAGAGATGGTTATTTTTATTTTTGAATGAACTGGAAAAACGTAAGCCAAATTAGGAGGTTAGAAAAAACATATCTAATTGGTTTATTCCATAAAATAGAAATGATGAATTATAAAGTGAATCATCTATCATCCATTATCTATTTTTCCATCTGTTATATTGCCTAGAATGTACAATTTGCTTTTCATTTTTCTATTATTCACAGTTTAGTGAATAAAGCAATAGGGGCCGTGATTCCCCATAGGGAAGCAGCGAGGCAATACTATACTATGGGAAGGGATAAGCGTGCTTGCGGCTTGCCGTGCATTCGCATTACGTCCCCTTCCCCACCTCCCGGTTGGATGACGAGGGAGATCGGCGCTGTAAATTGGCAAGAATAAAGGTTTATTAAACCCTTCATATGCCGGAGGGGGCATCTTCGAACACTATAGAATCCCTTTAATGAATAAATCACTAAAATATGCTGACAATTTTTTGCTTTCTCAGCTCAGAACAGATATCCCTTGTTATTGTCACACTTTGCATTAAATAATTATAAAAATAAATCAAGATTATGCTTTCTCTTCTGAGAATTACAATCTAAAAAATATTTTTTATGTTACCAGCTAAGTAGAAATGTCAGCGTAGAAATACTACATCAATGCAAATAGCATCCTTTCCCAGTGAGATCTGTCGCTGTACTGTCAGTATCAGCCTTTGCCCTTTAAATTCTCACAAATTCTACTTAGTGCAAAAATAGCATTCCTTCTCTAATCTGTGCATGAAACACAAATTTGCTGCAGCTGAGATCAATCTAATCTTTCCGAACTTTAGATCTAATAGAAAGGCTAAGAAAGCAGCCTGGAGCCATTTTTAGTAAATCCCCCATGCCAAACGATTATAATTTTGAATATTTGGATTGGTGTTGTGTCATCTTTAATATTTCATAAGCGAAGAAAGCAAAAATGAAAATTATACAGATGGTTGTTATGATTGGTAAATCCTCCAAAAGTTGCTGTTTCACATTATATTGAGTTCTTTTTGCATATACAGGTGATACTCGAAAAATTAGAATATCGTGCAAAAGTTCATTTATTTCAGTAATGCAACGTAAAAGGGGAAACTAATATATGAGATAGACGCATTACATGCAAAACAAGATAGTTCAAGCCGTGATTTGTCATAAGTGCAATGATTATGGCTTACAGCTCATGAAAACCCAAAATCCACAATCTCAGTAAATTAGAATATTACATGCAATCATTAAAACAAGGAGTGTAGATAGAACAATATTGGACCCCTGAAAAGTATAAGCATGCATATGGACTCAGTACTTGGTTTGGGCCCCTTTTGTAGTAATTACTGCCTCAATGCGGCGTGGCATGGAAGCTATCAATCTGTGGCACTGCTAAGGTGTTAGGGAAGACCAGGATGCTTCAATAGCGGCCTTCAGCTCTTCTGCATTGTTCGGTCTCATGTCTCTCATCTTTCTCTTGGCAATGTCCCATAGATTCTCTATGGGGTTCAGGTCAGGCGAGTTTGCTGGCCAATCAAGCAGTAATCCCACGGCCATTAAACCAGGCTTTGATGCTTTTGGCAGTGTGGGCAGGTGCCAAGTCCTGCGGGAAAATTAAGTCAACATCCCCATAAAGCTCGTCTGCGGAAGGAAGCATGAAGTGCTCCAAAATCTCCTGGTAGACGATTGCATTGACCATGGACTTAATGAAGCACAGTGGACCAACACCAGCAGATGACATGGCTCCCCAAATCAACACAGACTGTGGAAACTTCACACTGGACTTCAAGCATCTTGCAGTGTGTGTCTCTCCATTCTTCCTCCAGACTCTGGGTCCTTGGTTTCCAAATCAGATGCAAAGTTGTTCTCATCAGAAAAGAAGGCCTTGGACCACTGAGCAACAGACCCGGTCTGTTTTTCTTTAGCCCAGGTAAGACATTTCTGAAGTTGTTTGTTGTTCAGGAGCGGCTTGACAAGAGGAATACGACACCTGAAGCCCATGTCCAGGATCCGTCTGTGTGTGGTGGCTCTTGATGCACTGATTCCAGCCTCAGTCCACTCCTTGTGAAAGTCCCCAACACTTTTGAATGGCCTTTTCCTGACAATCCTCTCCAGGCTGCGGTCTTCCATACTGCTTGTGCAGCTTTTTCTTCCACACTTTTCCCTTCCACATAACTTTCTATTATTGTGCTTTGATACAGCACTTTGGGAACATCCAACTTCCTTCGCAATTACTTTTTGAGGCTTTCACTTCTTATGAATGGTGTCAATTATGGTTTTCTGCACAACTGTCAGGTCAGCAGTCTTCCCCATGATTGTGATTCCTACTGAACCAGACTGAGAGACCATTTAAAGGCTCAGAAACCCTTTGCATGTGTTATGGCTTACTTAGCTGATTAGAGTGGGACACTGTGAGCCTAGAATATTGCACCTTTTCACAATATTCTTATTTATTGAGATTGTGGATTTGGGGTTTTCATGAGCTGTAAGCCGTAATCATCGAACGTATTACAAATCATGGCTTGAACTATTTTGCTTTGCGTGTAATGCGTCTATCTCATATATTAGTTTCCCCTTTTACGTTGTATTACTGAAATAAATGAACTTTTGCAAGATATTTTTCAAGTATCACCTGTATATGAAATATAGAAAGTAGACCATCATCATCAACGGTCTATTGTCCATCAAAATCGTGACTTACTGTATTCCCTAAATTGCAAGGGAAGCCATATTGTTCTCATAAAGTCAATCTTTGTCCATGGATCTGATCCCTATCAACAGTGCAAAAATTATATAAATATACTGGTTTGTGCTGAGATCTTGTCGGAAGAGGCACCACACTATTCCCCATAGAAAAAAATGCAGGATACCATTAAAGGGACACTGTAGTCACTAAAACAGCTTTAGTTTAATGAAGCAGTTTTTGTGCATAGACCATGCATCAGAAATGTCACTGCTCAATTCTCTGCCATTTATGAGATCACTTTTGTTTTCTGTTTTATGCAGCCCTAGCCACACCACTCCTGGCTGTGACTCACACAGCCTACATGAAAACAAATTGGTTCATATGTAACTTACTTTAAATGTTTTTATCTCCTGCTCTGTAAATTGAACTTTAATTACATACAGGTGGTTTCTGAAGGGTCTAGCATGCTATTAACAGAGCAGGAGATAATTCTAAATTAAACAGAATTTGCAATAAAGTGTGCAAACATTAGATGGCTCTTTTCAGGATGTGTTTAGCAAGGCCGTGTAAGTCAAATGCAAGGAGGTGTGGCTAAAACTGTATAAACAAAGTAATTTAACTCCTCAATGGCAGAGATTTGAGTAGTGAGACTGCCGAAGCATGATCTATACACCAAATTGCTTTAGTAAGATAAAGTTGTATTGGTGACTATAGAGTAAATTTATGTTATCAACTTCTCACATGCTCCCAATGAGAAGCCATATGTATTTATATATGGCTGGCAACAGGGGCTATATTAGCAACCACATTTACTCTGACCGCAATTGCCTCATGTAAAACAAGTATTAGTTAGATTAAAAACAAAAGAAGGAAGATATGTAGAAGAGGATAAAGGTCTAGCTGACTGCCTCAGTGAATATTTTTGTTCTGTATTTACAGATGAAAATGAAGGAAAGGGACCGCAGTTAAGAAAAAGGATAAATGAGTCATTTATTACACGTGAGTTTACAGAGGTTCTATTTCAACTCTCAAACGTAAAGACAAATAAGTCAATGGGACCTGATGGAATACACCCACAACTATTAAAAGAGCTTAGTGGTGTACTAGCAAAACCATTAACAGATTTAACCAATCATTGTTAACAGGAGTAGTCCCAGAAGATTGGAAGTTAGCGAATGTTGTGCCCATTCACAAGAAATGTAATAGGAAGGAGTCGGGCAACTATAGGCCAGTAAGCCTTACTTTAGTAGTGGGGAAAGTGATGGAAACCATGTTAAAGGATAGGATTGTTGAACATCTAAAAATGGATTTCAAGATCAGAGACAACATGGGTTTACTTCAGGGAGATCATGCCAAACTAATCTTATTGATTTTTTTGATTGGTTAACTAAAATTATAGATCAGGGTGGTGCAGTAGACATTGCTTACCTAGATTTCAGTAAGGTTTTTGACACTGTTGCACATAGAAGGCTTATCAATAAACTGCAATCTTTAAAGGGCCACTCTAGGCACCCAGACCACTTCAGCTTAATGAAGTGGTCTGGGTGCCAGGTCCAGCTAGGGTTAACCCATTTTTTCATAAACATAGCAGTTTCAGAGAAACTGCTATGTTTATGAATGGGTTAAGCCTTCCCCTATTTCCTCTAGTGGCTGTCTCATTGACTAGAGGCGCTTGCGTGCTTCTCACTGTGATTTTCACAGTGAGAGCACACCAGCGTCCATAGGAAAGCATTATGAATGCTTTCCTATGTGACTGGCTGAATGCGCGCGCAGCTCTTGCCGTGCGTGCGCATTCAGCCGACGAGGAGGAGAGCTCTCTGCCCAGCGCTGGAAAAAGGTAAGTTTAACCCCTTTTCCCCTTTCCAGAGCCGGGCGGGAGGGGGTCCCTGAGGGTGGGGGCACCCTCAGCGCACTATAGTGCCAGGAAAACAAGTATGTTTTCCTGGCACTATAGTGGTCCATTAAGTTTGGAGTTCAATATTGTTGAATGGGTTAGGCAGTGGCTAAATGATAGGCAACAGAGGGTTGTAGTCAACGGAGTATATTTATAGCAAGGTCTAGTTACCAGTCGGGTACCTCAGGGATCTGTACTTGGACCCATTCTCTTTAATATTTTTATTAGTGATATTGCAGAAGGTCTTGATGGTAAGGTATGTCTTTTTGCTGATGATACTACAATTTGCAACACGGTTGATGTTCCAGGAGGGATAAGCCAAATGGCAAATGATTTAGAAAAATTTGAAAAATGGTCAGAGCTGTGGCAACTGACATTTAATGTGGATAAGTGCAAGATAATTCACCTTGGACGTAAAAACCCAAGGGCAGAGTATAGGATATTTGATACCCTACTAGCCTCAACATCTGAGGAAAGGGATTTAGGAGTAATTATTTCAGATGACTTAAAGGTAGGAAGACAATGTAATAGAGCAGCTGGAAATGCTAGCAGAATGCTTGGTTGTATAGGGAGAGGTATTAGCAGTAGAAAGAGAGAAGTGCTCATGCCATTCAGGGCCAGATTAAGAGCCCAGTGGGCCTGGTGTTGAGAATTATGATGGGCCTAATTACAAAATCGTATCGACCAAAAACACGAAAACAGTCCTACCTCCCAAGCGTCATGTATCTGATGGAGATGGTTCTGGAGGGAAACTCATAGGATGCAGCTATGAGAAAACACATAACCTATGCTAATCTCATGCTTTTATCTTTCAAATAAATCCATACCCATTAACAGCAGTGTCCAATAAAGCAAGAAGTCTATGGACGGGTAAAAGGGTGGGCCACTGACGCAAATCACTTACGAACTGCCGAAAGGGGCGAATATACCCAAAAAGGGCGCATGTCTTTGTCCCCATGTGTCCCAGTCCCTTAGTGTCTGTGTCCCCATGTCTCCCAGTGTCCCCATTTCACTAGGACACTTGGGGACATTGAGAGACATTGGGACACTGGGAGACATGGGGCACTGAGACACTGTGATATATAGGGGACACTGGAGACTTGATAAAGACCTGGGTAAAGGTCAAAACTTACGGTGTCCAATAAACCTGCTTAAATATATCACAGTGAGTGCCTGAGATTTTTTTCTTTTATAGAGACACTTGGGGGCACTGTGAGACATGGGGACTCTGGGAGACTAGGGGACACTGAGACACGACGGACACTGAGAGACACCGGGGACATTGGGAGACACGGGGCACTGAGTTACATAGGGGACACTGTGATAAATAGGGGACACTTTGATACAGAGGGGACACTGAAGACTTGCTAAAGTCCTGGGTACAAGTCGACGTTGCGGTGTCCAATAAACCTGCTTAAATCTATCACAGTGAGTGCCTGAGATTTTTGTTTTATACTAGGAAACACTGGGACACATGGGGACAATGGGAGACATTGAAACACTGGGAGGCTAGGGGAATTTGGAAGACTAGGAAACACTGAAACACTAGAGACACTGGCACACTATGGACACTGAGAGACACCAGGGACACTGGGAGACATGGGGACACTGAGATCCTAAGGACACTGGCTGGGAGACATGGGGACACTGGGAGTGCCCCATGTCTTCCAGGTCTCAAAGTCGCCCAGTGCTCCCTAGTGTCTGTGTCGCCATGTCTATCAGTGTCCCCATGTCACTAGGGGACACTTAGAGACATTGGGACACTGAGACATGGGACCACAGAGACATGGGGACACAGAGACTAGGGGACACAGACTAGGGGACACAGAGACTAGGGATATTGAGAGACACCAGGAACACTGGGAGACATGGGTACACTGACACCAGGGACACAGAGACTAGGGGACACTGAGACACTGGGAGACATGGGGACACTGAGAGACTAGGGACACTGGATGGGAGACATGGGGACACAGAGACTATGGGCCTCTGGGAGACATGGGGCCACTGTGTTCCTAGTGTCTAAGGGTCCCCATGTTCCCCAGTATCTCAGTGTCCCAATGTCACCAGTGTCACCAAGTGTCCCTATGTCTCTCAGTGTCCCCAAGTCTCTCACCGTCCCTATCTCTCACAGTTTCCCCTAGTGTCCATGTCCCCAGGTCTCCCTAGTGTCCCCATGTTTCACAGTGTCCCCTAGTGTCTCAGTGTCCCCTAGTGTCTGTGTCCCCATATCTCCCTGCTGCTTTTCCCCCCATCCGTCACTTGCCTCAGTTGTTGGCTGTCTCTGCAGGCTGGGAGCTGCGATTTGGACTCTCTGGGCAGAGCTGCTCCCCTGCAGATTAGTGAGTAGAAAGAGGTAGGGAGGGAGATGCTGTAACTTCCTATCCCTGCCTCTCTCCACACACACAGCACCACATACTGGTCGGTGCCAGTATTGCATCTAATCTCAGTTTATACTGAGACTGACATTTGTATTGCCAGTATTACTGCAATACCAGCACCGACTAGGCAGCCTCAAATACCTGATAAATACTTCTGAGAAATACCTGGCAACCCTAAAAGTAGTGTGTAAAATGTTTTTTTTTTTGTTTTTTTTTAAATCAATGGGCCCATTCTATGGGCTTGGGCCTGGAGCTGCAGCTCCATCAGCCCCTATGTTAATCTGGCCCTGATGCCATTGTACAGAACACTGGTGAGACCTCACTTGGAGTATTGTACGCAGTACTGGAGACCGTATCTTCAGAAGGATATTGATACTTTAGAGAGAGTTCAGAGAAGGGCTACTAAACTGGTTCATGGATTGCAGGATAAAACTTACCAGGAAAGGTTAAAGGATCTTAACATGTATAGCTTGGAGGAAAGACGAGACAGGGGGGATATGATAGAAACATTTAAATACATAAAGGGAATCAACACAGTAAAGGAGGAGACTATATTTAAAAGAAGAAAAACTACCACAACAAGAGGACATAATCTTAAATTAGGGGGGCCAAAGGTTTAAAAATAATTTCAGGGGGGCAGAGCCTGACCTCGAAGGAAGATGGACGCCTGATTCCTGAGTTCTTTCTCCCCACAGCACGTTAATCCGCTACCATCAGAATTTTCCTTAGTCACAAGCACTCAAAAACAACATTGGACAACTCTACACATCCTGCCCGACACCGGAAACTATGGGAGGCGGGGAAAAACAGAAAGATCTGACCCCCTCGGTCGCAACGATCTTCCGCATGCCAAACACCTCATAGATGCCTAATAACTCCCAACTAATGGAAGAAGAGGACTCTGAACCCGACTAATTCATCCCCTCATCTGACCTGACCGCCCCACTCACCATCATAAGGCAACCTCGGACATCAAAACCCAGGTAGCGGCAGAAATAATCAAGCAGCTTGAGGGCCTCAAAGCTGATGTGGCAACACTAACCTCCAAAACAGACCAAGCTGAGACTTGCATCTCCAAGCTAACAACGACCACAGAAAATCCTACCTATAAGGAATGGTCGCAATATAAAGATATTTGTACTGTCTATAACAAGGACACTCATGGGAGATTCCTACAGCTCCAGGAGTCACTGGATACTACACTTCATAGGTCGGCTAGTTCTATAGGCAGGCAGTTTAACAAAAGAGCACAGTATGATCTATATATCTATCAAATCGTCTTCCCCCCCCCCAAAAAAAAAGAAGCTATTTATTAATTTCCACAACCGGATGAACCCTATTTCAGTTTACAATATGCGGTATTAGAGCTAGCTTACATTATAGCTGGGACTTGTCTCAAGACGGTATGTAACTAAAAGTTGTAGGATGCAAATACTAAGGAGAACCCCTAACGGATGAATAGCTCTTTTATGCTTGAGGTACTCTCCATTAGATTCTTATATAAAGGTGACATGTCTTCCTATGGGCTTAACAAAGTCCGTTCACACTCAGAACACAACATAGCCGGACAAACCCTAACCCCCCCACACCGACAGCCCCCTACCACACACCATCTACCACATGACCATGTGAACAGGACACCCCCAAACGCTGACCCCAGTTCCCCCCTCCCCACCTGGAACGACCAGACGTTCCACCACACCCGAACCAACAAACGACAGCCCCATAAGGCCTGCACGCAGAGACCGGGTGACCCCCACAGCCGAAAACCATTAATGAACAACGACCTAACCTTTCATTAAGATATCGTACTGCCAGCCTACACAAATGCGGGTAAAACAAACTGAAACTTCAGATTGTTCAATGTTGTTTATTATTAATTTGTTATACTTCTGTATATATATATATATATATATATGTTTATATCTACGCTTATGTCCAGTTTTGCACCCTACTGCTCGAGGGCTGGAGGTCTGCACCCAAACCACAACCGAACCCTACACCAACAGACTACCCACGAGACCAATGACTCCGCGCCGAGACATCCATCACAGACACCAGTCAACTTCTATATCTCACCTGTGACGACAGGAAGGAAACATACACGGCCCTGATACAGACCACCACCACGAAATCACGAAACCGTGAGTGAAACATCCCAATACGTGCTAGGGGAGAAGACGAAAGGAATGTGAAAACCTTCCTCAGGCACCACCGACACCCCCCGACACCACCTGGCTAATATTCTGTAAGACCAGGGACCCTATACACCCACTTGCTCCAGACTGCAACCACCCACACCCACTTCCCACCCCCCCTTTTTAATTTTTTTTACCTCAACCGCCCCCTCCTGAAACCAGACCACCGTAAAACCAGCTCATAGGAGGGGACTTTAACGCGACCATGGCTCCCGAGAATGACCCACACTTCGTGGGACCGGGCCTGCCCCCCACCCCACAAGATTAGACAAAGCACTCTCAAATTTCATACTCCACACAGGCCTTCACGATGTATGGAGACTACACCATCCCAAAACCTTGGACTTCATGTTCTATTCACAACCCCATTCCTCATATTCCAGAATTGATATGTTCCTGATCTCCCCTTCCCTGCTGCCCCAAACCACAAAATCGACTATAGGTACCATAGCGTGGTCCGACCATGCAGAGATCTCCCTCGAAGTAGAGATTCCCCTAGCGGCCAGGACCTGGACGTGGAGATTAAATCCCACCCTGCTACAAAACCCAGACATCAAACAGGCCACACACACAGCTATAGGACACTATTTTGCTGACAACATAAACTCGGTCACCTCGACTAGCTCAATCTGGGCAGCACACAAGGTGGTAATCAGGGGCATACTGATTGAACAGGCCACCAGGCTCAAAAAACAAAAAAACTCAACGAACTAGAACATCATATAACCTCCCTGAGAGCTATCTCAGCCCAGCACAAGCAGGACACCTCCCCAGATAAACTAGCCCAAATAAACGCCCACCAACAAGCCATCAAAACGTTCATGACCAAAGACTCCCAAAGGGCACTCCTATGGACCAAACAACTCTTCTATGACAAGTCCAATAAGGCTGACTCTCTTCTAGCGCGCAAATTACGCCACAAGTCACAGGCCAAAAATATAGACAAAATCAACTCCCCCAGAGGCAAAACATACACCACCCCCGACCGGATAGCTTTCATCTTTGCCACATACTTCACTGAAATATACAACCACCAGACATAACCAAAACTACCCAAGCGACCGCCAGGCCATAGAATCTTACCTTAAGGATATTCCCCTCCCAGCGCTGTCGGAGGAGGCAAGAGCACAACTCACATCACCCATCACGACAGAGGAAATTGCACTCACGTTAAATCAATTAAGCCTCATAAATGTCCGGGACCGGATGAATTTGCAGGCCAATATTACAAATCATTCTCAGACATCCTCTTGCCGCACTGTATAACTCGCTACTCCAAGGCGACACACTACTGGAAGATATGCTGGATTCAAACATAAGCCTGATCCCAAAACCAAACAAATCACTCACCGACCCAGGCCACTACAGACCTATATCCCTCCTTAACGTAGATATCAAAATCTTTACTAAACTCCTGGTGAATTGCATTCAACACTCCCTACCCAAATTAATCCACCCTGATCAGGTGGGATTCATCCCTTCACGACAAGCTAGCAACAACACCAGATGAACACTAGACCTGATATGGGTGGCAATGCATAGGAAGATCCCGACCCTCATCCTATCCATGGATGCCGAGAAGGCATTTGATTGCCTTCTCTGGCCCTTCCTCTTCGCCACCCTTCGGAAACTCCGACTCACCAACCCAATAATTGCAGCCCTAACGTCCTTCTACGACACACCAACAGCCACTTTCCTTATACCCAACTCCTGACTAACAAAAATTAAGATTAAAAACAGCACCAGACAAGGCTGCCCTCTCTCCCCACTCCTATTCGCCCTCTCCCTGGAACCCTTCCTACAAAAGAGACGCAACTCCCCGACAATCTCTGGACTCAGGGTAAGACAACACGAATACAAAGTAGCTGCCTATGCCAACGACATTCTCCTCACGCTCACGAATCCGTCCCAATCCATCCCACCACTGCTGACACTCTTGGGAGAATATGTGGCAGTCTCAGGCTACAAATTGAACCTAGACAAAATGGAAACCCTCCCACTCGGGATCCCGGAACAAGAACTAGACAACCTCCGCCACTCACACCCATTTAAATACGAGACCAGTATCCCAAATCTCGGCATACTCTTACCCACAGACCCTGAATCCACATATTCAATAAACTACCCCACTCTGATTCAACAAGCCTATATAGACCTCCAAAGCTGGAATACCATGCCAATATCATAGATGGGAAGGATAGCCTCCATTAAAATGAACCTCCTCCCCAGATTCTTGTACCTATTTCAAACCCTACCCGTCCCGATATCCCGGAAAGACTTCAAAACACCCCAAACAAAAATCGACAACTTTATATGGTCCAACAAAAGATCCAAAATAAAGAGAACTACAATGTACAAAACCGCTAAAACAGGAGGACTGGGACTCCCCAACTTTTATAGCTATTTCCAAGCCTCCCAAATAGCACAAATACAGCAACTACACGCTCCCCCAGGACTCAAAATATGGGTAGACCTCGAACACGACCTTATGGGCAGAGACCACCCCTCACTGCTTCTCTGGCTCCCCAAACGGTCCAGGCCCGAAACCCCACACACAACCCCAGCTCTACGCACCTCATTCCAGGTATGGGATAACCCAAAAACCCAACTCATCACCTCCCCCTTACCCCTAACCCCACTCCTAAGAAATACACAGTTCCCCCCAGGAATGGACCCCCGAGACTTCGCACACTTCGAAGATAATGGACTCTCACGCTTCTACCACTTCTTCCGATCCAATCAGCTACTACAGTTCCCAGATCTACCCAGACATACACCACTAAACACTTTCGATCACTTCAGGTATATACAGATCCGCAGCTTTCTACAAAACCCCCAACACACCTCCACAGCCTCTGCTAACCTAGCCCAATTCGAGCGCGATTGCGTACACAACCCGATACACAAAGGCCAAATCTCCTTCATATACCTCCAACTCAACTCCTCCTCTTCAGCGGACGCACTCTCCTACACTAAAACATGGGAAAAAGACATTGGCCCCCCCAACGATCCCTTGGACTGAACGGCAATTTGGGAGGCAACAGCGTCCCTCACCATATTTGTTAACCATAGAGAACAGGCCTATCTATTCAGGGCACAAAACAAATTGCTTGCCAAAATCGCCTTGGCTACAAGACGTACAATAGCCGAACAATGGGGCAATTAAAACATACCCACTCTAGAGACTGTACTTCGAAAAACGGAGGAATCCAGAGAGATTGACAAACTCTCAGCCCTACTTCACGACACAACCTATGTATGTAACCCCCTGACTTGGAGAATTGACTTGGAGTATTTTTCATATTTGGCTATTTTGAAAATCAGTTTGAATTCCCAGCAATTCTGACTATAGTGAATAACCCTGATAGAGATATACATTCAGGAACAGGAGTATGCCCCATACCAGACCTGCTTCTTCTGGATTGACCACCATCTCCTATGGAACAATTCAGTTACTTCAAAAGTACACATTTACAGGTCCTAGATATTAACAGATCTCCGACTGAATTTAAAAGACTTTGTCTCCAGAGAGCATGTAGAAGGAAGAATCCTCAATCTTTAACCAGCTTCTCTTTCTGACAGCTAACAGGACGTCTTTTAGATTTGTGTCTTATAGCCAACCACATGTATGAACACCCCTAAGAAAAAACAACATATCTGTGACAAACTCCCCTGTCCTCGTGAGTTTGCCACATATTTTCGGACACTGAAACTCCCGAACACCGCTGGACTTCCATGTTTGCCTGTGTTTGGTTTTATATAGCCCTGATTTTATGGAACTATTTTGGGCAGGAGCCTCGTGTGTGGTCGGTCAAATTAAGACTTCCAGGAAATTCCCAAACCCCTGAACCGATCTGGGTGATTTTTGAATAAGTTGGTCACTCAGATCAGGGCTAACTTTAGGGGGGAGGGGGAGTTATGTGTTTTTGAGGTACTTTTGGGGTGTTTGTGAAATGTGTTATAGTATGGTCAATATTAAATTTTTTATATATATCACATTCTCCAAAAGAGAAAATATGTATTTGGATAAAATTTGATAAATAAAAGAAATAAAAAAATATATTTTTCATTGGGCAGTTTATAACTTACCAACTTTTTCACTAAAGTGAAAACTTAACATGAATTCAAGGTGACTTTCTTATTTAAGGCAGGGCAAAGAGAAAACATATCAAGGGGTTTAAATAGCCTAAACCTAACTGCTATTGATAGGCCGATGCACGCACGCCCGCGTGACCCCTGACCTTGCCAGAGGTTGCCGCAAAGAAGCACGCTATTGCAGTATTGCATCCATAGGCAGGGCCGCCACCAGAAATTTTGGGGCCCCTATCTGAGCTCAGGGTCTGGGCCCCTGGGGGCCCGCCTCCAAAACCGCCTACAGAGACCGCCTCCAAATCCCGTCCACAGGCATACACACACAGACACAAACACATTCACTGATACAAAAGGACACAGATAAACACACACACACACACACTGATACATACTAACAGACACATATACTGATACGCTTATTGTCATACATACTGACACACATACTGAGCCATACACACATATACAGACACACAGGCGTACATAGTGACAGATACATACTAACATACATACAGACAGACATGCATAAGGACATACAGACACAGACACATTCGTAATGACATACACACAGACAGACATACATTCATACTGGCATACAGACACTGACATCTATACACACATACATACACAGACATACATTCATAATGACATACATTCATACTGGCATACATACATTCATACAGACACTGACATCCATACATACACACATTCATAATGACATGCAGACATACATACACTGACATTCATACACACATAATGACATACAAACATACATGCATACATACATACAGACAGACATGCATACAGATATATATAGACATACATACAGACAGACATATACATACATACACATACACACACATACTGGCAGGCATACATAGACATACAGACAGACAGACATACATAGATAGACAGACAGACAGACATACAGTCAGACAGACATGCATACAGACAGACATACATAGACATACAGATAGACATACAGATATGCATACAGACAGACATACAGACATGCATACAGATAGACATACATAGACATGCAGATAGACATACAGACAGACATAGACATACAGATAGACATACAGACAGACATGCATATAGACAGACATACATAGACATACAGACAGACATGCATACAGACATACAGACATGCAAAGACATACAGATATACATCAGACAGACATAGACATACAGACATACATACAGACATGCATAGACAGACATACATAGACATACAGATAGACATACAGACATGCATACAGACATACATACATACATACATAGACATACAGATAGACAGACAGACATACAGACATACATAGACATACAGACATGCATACAGACATACATAGACATACAGACACACATACATACAGACATACATAGACAGACAGACATACATAGACATACAGATAGACATACAGACAGACATACATAGACAGACAGACAGACATACATAGACATACAGACAGACATACATAGACATACAGATAGACAGACATAGACATACAGATAGACAGACATACAGACATGCATACAGACAGACAGACATACAGACAGACATAGACATACAGACATACATAGACATACAGACAAACATACATAGACATACAGATAGACATACAAACATGCATACAGACAGACATACATAGACATACAGACATGCATACAGACAGACATTCATAGACATACAGATAGACAGACATAGACATACAGACATGCATACAGACAGACAGACATACACAGACATACAGATAGGCATACAGACAGACATAGACATACAGACAGACATACATAGACATACAGATAGACATACAGACATGCATACAGACAGACATACATAGACATACAGATAGACATACAGACATGCAGACAGACATACATAGACATACAGATAGACATAGACATACAGACACACACAGCTCATTTCCCAGCCACCCTCCTGTCTCTTACCTTGTCTTTGCAGGAGGGTGGCTGGGGCTGATGGGACTGGGAGTCGGCTGGCTCTCCCTCTTCACTGCCAGGTGCGCTCTCCTCCCGCGCGATGTGGCTGCATTTTTTTTTTTTAAAGGGGCCCGGTCGCGCTATACCATGGCCACAGCACTGACCGGGCTCCTGCAGATATATAGATATGATGGTGGCCCTGTCCATAAGAACACTAGGCTAGGTGGGAAGGGTCACTCCAGCGGATCAAGCCGTGATCCGCTGAGTCTGTGGTAAGTATATGGGGCCAGCTGAGTGACCACACCGATCGGGTGTAATCACATGCATTTGCTCAACAGGAGCCGTGACACTGGGTGGCCTCCCACTCATGTATATTAAGTCCTAGAGGAAGCCAAATATATGGGGTACTCTATTAGTAGGGAACCAGTGAAGTTCCAAGTTGCTAAAATTGAAGACATTTGAAATTGACCAAGACCACAGGTGAGAACTTTTCTTGCTATAATTGGATATTACAGGAGATTTATATCCAACTTTGCTACCATCGGAAGCCCGTTCCCTGACCTTTATAAAGCTAATGCTCCTTTAGTGGTAAAATGATTGCAGAGACTGAACAAGCATTTGGAAAGCTCATTGAAGCGATTAGTGCCCAACCAGTGCTGGTAACACCTGATTTTTCTAAAGAATTCATTTTACAGACAGATGCATCTGATGTAGGGCTTGGTTGCTTAGACCATTCCTGCAATGTGGTATGGTGTAATATCCTGCTGAATAAGGCCACTGCCATAAAGGAACACCATTGCCATGAATGGGTGTAAGCAGTCTGCAGAAATCTCTAGGTAGGTGTCAAAGTAACATCTGCATGAAAACCAGAATCCAAGTTTTCATTGCACAGAGCATAACACTGCCACTGCCGGCCTTCCTTATTCCCATAGTGCATCCGGCTGCCATCTCTTCCCAGGTAAACAATGCACACGCGCCTGATCTAAAAGAAAACTAGATTCATCAGTGTAACATATTCATCCTCACCTTGTGGTGTTTGCGCTCAGTGGCCATGTGTCTTTGTACCTGACTCCTGCAACGTGTTGATGGACGCCGGATGCTGTGGATCCAACGCCAAATTTTAGCCCCACGTCCGCCCACATTGATGACGCCGTTGGCATGCGTGTAATGTCACGCGGGAGAAGCGTGCACACATTCTGGGGCCAAAGGCCGATCTCTGCCCATCAGATTTGTAAATGGCTTATTTAAAGGCAATTTTACTTTTCCTCATTGCCCTGTCGTTGTTTCCCTTAGTGGTTGTCCGAGAGTGTGTTCCTGAGTGTCTATTTCTGTTTATGGACTTTGGCTTCGTTCTGACTTCCCTGTATTCTGGTATCCCTGTCTTTTGGCTTTCCCTTATCGTGGTGTCCCATTCCGTGTCCCCGACCTTGGCAAGTATTCTGACTATTCTTTGGTACGTTAAATACAACCATTCTAAGGCCCAGTAAGACGTTACCTTTTAGTCCTAGGTGTGATACAATTCTACGTGCTGGATCAAATAGTAATCTTGACAATCAGACCAGACAACCTTCTTCCATTGCTCCATGGTCCAGTTCTGATGCTCACATCTCCATTGAAGGCACTTTTGGTGGTGAACAGGGGTCATTATGTGCACTCGGACCGGTCTGCGGCTATGCAGCCTCATACACAGCAAACTGATTTTCTGTATGATTGGACCAGATTGGCTAGCCTTCACTCCCCAGGAGCCCCGATGAGCCCCCAGTCTAATGGAGCTGCTGAACGTGCCAACCAGTCCCTAGAGCAGTATCTTCGTTGCTTTGTATCCTCCCACCATCAGAACAATTGGGCTGACCTGCTTCCTTGGGCTGTTTGCTCGTAACAATGCTGCTCATGAATCTTCTGGTAAAAGCCCTTTGTACGTTGTTTATGGCCGGCATCCTGTTGTTCTTCCAGCTGCATTCTCCTTACAGGGCATGCCAGCCCTGGATG